TTACCAAGTGCAGTGGTGAGGAATTGGATCTAACAGAAGTCTCTCCGAGGAAGATCGTCGCTGCGTTTTGGAAGAATACTCGTCGACATAACGTCCAGATCCTTAAGAGTGTACAACGATATATTTTTTTTTCTTTTCTTTTCCGTGTGCCTCTTCGTCTCCTGAAGGAAGTTAAGGATCAAGTTAAAAGTGCTAGCGTTGCTTATGGTATATGAAGGGATCTTCATATATCAGAAGAAATGCAAGTAAATCAAAATGTGAGTATACAGTGTGGAGACACAGTGCCACAGTGAATTTCGAATATCAAAATATCAGAAAGTAATCACTCCCTGGAGGAACTCTGTCTGAGTGACCAAGAGTAAGAAGAAGTCCAGCTGATGTCGAGTGATAGTTGATTTCGTCTGTAGTATGCATGTAACATATACCTTTATGAATGTCCATTTTGGTTCTCAAATGCTTCTTCTTCAATTTCCCAGAATGCCACAATTGTTCATATACATCTTATCATAGTTTCCCGTCTAAGTGAAATCACCCAGAGTGCTGAAGATTCTTCATGTTTTTGCATGGAACGTAAAAAGTCCGTAAAAAAAACAAAAAACAAACCAAGAACCCTATTTACAAAAAAAAAAAAAAAAAAGACAAGAGACAATACACGGGAAACCACCGCTACTTATTAAAACGTATCTAATCGTCTGCCTTTCCCCCCGCTATTACGCTCTCATCAACAGAAACCCCCGAAGGATCTCCAACAGGGTGACGGGGCGATGGAGGATGCGCCGGCGAAGGGTATCTTTTGCCGCTTGGCCACGTGCTTGAGGACCGCCCTGAGACTCATGACGGTGGAGCCCGTTGTGTTCATCGACGGGGCGTGCTACTGGTCCATGACGGTGTTCATGGAAGTCGTCCAGATGGAGAAAATCTGTGCGACTAATCTCGGGTTTTCAAAAGAGGTAGCGAAGTAGTGTCCCTCCTTCTCTTTGTTCTGCGATGGTTATGTATCTCTTCAAATTGTTTAATGTTTTGATCCTTTTCGAACGTGGGATACAGCGGGCGTGATTTAATATTTCCCTTGGCTTTCCCCTCTACAGGTGTGCTCCAACCTCTCCGCTCACACCGATGAGAGCCTCCAAGTTCAAAAACAGTTCAGCATCTTCGCTTTTTACAACAGCATCTTCTTTTCGGTTTTCCCGCTTATATTCGTGCTTTTCATGGGTGCTTGGAGTGACAAATACGGGCGGAAAGTAAGTGCTTAGACGTGGGTGGCGTTGTTGTAAATCATAATTCTGATAAAGAGAAATGTTTTATGATTTGACATATATCTGAGTAGCGTTTGTCATAAAAGCTTGTATGTGAATCTTGTTATTGCGAATACGATGCATTGATGTGTACCGCAAAGTTTCATTTTAAGAATATTTTAGTATATTTTACCTTTCTCATATAGTCCAATATGCACTTCATAGCAATCATTATGATTAAGAACGAAATTGAAATCATCATTTCAGTATGCATCCCTTTTCTACCTCTCCTTCCTTCTCTGTGATTGGAATAAATAAATATTTCATTGCCCCCCCCCCCAGATCCCTCTCCTGATCACCCTGGGCTGCCACGTCCTCTGGTCGGGCGGCTACCTGCTCAACACGTGGCAGACGGCGTGGCCCGTCGAGATCATCTACTTCGTGACGTTCCTCGGCTCCGTCGGCGGCGGTCCTCAGGGCCTGCTGTCCTCCGCCATCGCCTACATCAGCGACGTGACCTCCGTCAAGACCCGCACGGGCCGCGTGAGCAACACGGTGTCGTCGTGGTACCTGGGAGGTCCCCTGGGCATGCTGGTGGGCGCCGTGGCCATCCAGAACGTGGGCGTGGAGCTGGCCCTCGCGCTCGTCTTCGCGGCCTACGTCAGCATCTTCACCTACGTCTTCTTCTTCATCAAGGAGAGCCACGGGCCGTTCGCGCAGATGAAGGGCGTCGAGGAATCCCCCATCAAGAAGGAGGACGTGACGAGACTGCGCATGCTCTCCGACCTGTTCAACTGGCGCCGCGTCCTCGAGTCCTTCAAGACGGCGCTGAGGAAACGCGAGGGCAGCGCCAGGGTCATCCTCATCGCGCTCATCATCAGCAACATGGTTCGCCGCGCCGCCAGAGGTAAAAAAAAAAGAATGAAATAAAAGATAGTTTTCCATTTACGAAAACATGACCCGTTCTCGAATAATTACCCATTCACGAGAATGTGTTACATAGATAAAATGATAGATGGAAAGAATTACAACCATCTCACCTTTCAGTAAAATTTGAAACATTTATCCCATACATATCATTAAAATTTCAAAGGCTCATTCACCTTATCTAGAGGAGATTCGCTGACGTCACAAACCGCGGTTCCATTGCAGGGTTCTACATGTACAGTTTCGTCCGCCGAGCTCTGTACTGGGACGCTACTGACTTCTCTTACTGGTCCTCTTACCGCAGTCTTGTCTCCGCCGTTGGTAAGGGAAAACTTTTCTTAACCGTTTGTCCTTAATTAACTACGAAATGAACGCCATGAATGATCTATGGTATGCTTTCAATACGCATATGATGCCTAATTATACACACGATCTAAAAATCAAACAGATATCACGAACTATTTTCAACCGAGAGGGGGATCCTAAAAAAAAAATAATAAAAAGACGACCATGCAAAAACCAGACAGGGACTGCTACAAAAACATGCCCTCTACATTCACTCGACGTCTTCAGGATCCCATCGTTCTTATTTTCACCTCCTTCTCTTTATCTCTTCATCCTTTTTTTTTTCTTTTTTTAAATCCCAACAGGGTCGCTCATTCTGGTCCCATTGCTCACTCGTCTCATCTCCGTCTCCGACCCCATGTTGATTGTTATTGGCTCGCTGTCGATCATCGGAGAATACTGTTGCTATGGCCTCATCAGCGGGATAGCCACGGGTTTCTACATCTGGCTCGGCCCTCCAGCGGGTCTCATTTCCAACGCCAGCATCATTGCGCAGAAGTCCATGGCGACCAAGCTGGTGTCTTCGTCGGAGAAAGGTGAGGACGCTTTAAAGGTTCTTTGAAACATGGCGTTTGGTTGGAGCTATGTTTTTACTTTTGCCTTCTCTTCGCTTTTTTCTCTTTTTGTCTCTCTCTCTCTCTCTCTCTCTCTCTCTCTCTCTCTCTCTCTCTCTCTCTCTCTCTCTCTCTCTCTCTCTCACTCACTCACACACTCACTCACTCTCTCTCACTCAATCTCTCTCTCTCTCTCAATCTGTGTGTGTGTGTGTGTGTGTGTGTGTGTGTGTGTGTGTGTGTGTGTGTGTGTGTGTGTGTGTGTGTGTGTGTGTGTGTGTCAACAAAAGGACGGGAATAAAAGCCGCGAATACTGAAATAGAATCAAAGAAAGAAGCAGAACAAACAAAACTCCATGTCGCTATAAAAAAAAAAAAAAGTAATTTAGCAAAGCAATCAAAAGTTCACGAATCAACCTTTTATTGTCCCGTCTTCAAGATCATAAAACACGGTCAATGAGCTCTTGATGGAATACTTTACTTATTTTCTTTTCTTTTTCTCTTACAGGTCGCGTAAGTGCTGTCATGGCTGCTACCCAGAGCCTCATGCCTATGGTTGGCTACGCAATGTACGCGCCCATATATCATCAGACCGTAGAGAACTTCCCCGCTGCCCAGTTTTTCTTCGGTGCAGGATTGGCTACTCTCATCATGATCACTTTCCTGTACATAAGATATTTCTTTGTCGTATTTGTGGTATCTTGCGGGGATGGATGGGTTATGTGATGGCTTTATATTTTACTTCTTCTTTAGTGATATATGTTGTGTATTATGTGTCTTGTTTAGGATAGTTATGGGGATCTCTCCGTAAGAGAACGTAAACAGGTTGCGGAACGGAGATCGAGAGAAATGGAGTAACACTTTTGGACTTTCGGATTTAACACTTTCATCTTCTTCCATTCCAGGGCCATCCAGTTAGCGAATGTGACTTACGAAAGCGAGTTGGCGGACGTCGAAAAGATGCCTAAGGATGCTTCAGCGGGAGACAACACGATCCAAATGAAACAAAAGCCGACCTCGGGAACTGAGGAGAAAAAGGAATCGACTGCCGATGATAAAAAACTGACAAACACATCCCTCGCCGACCAGCCTGTCCTGAACAAGACCAGCGCGGGAATAACATACATCAGTAAGAATTTCTATCACCAGAATGGACTTACGGGATCATTAGGAAGACAAAACTCAAATGAGGGAGAAAGACGACAGGAGAGAGGCGTAAGGGTTAATGGTTATCCGATGTGGCAAGCGTACGAGAACAGTGCCACGGATGAGGAAATTCGACAGTTAGAGTCAGTGCCAGTTTCCAATCGCGACAGAACGACGAGTGATAGAGAAAAAACTATTTAAACCCTTAGACCAAAAAGAAAAAAAAAAGAAAACTGTTGTTCTTTTTTGTTGTGTTTATAATTTTAGTCATTCAAGATGGCCGTGGTATACTTAAATGTACTATTTTCTTTTTTTTTTCTTTATTCCTTCCAGCGTCATCTTGTTTATGGTTAGTGTTTTTGAATATTTTGGATACCATTTTTCCCATGTATTTATCTATTTCTGTATAACCTGCGATGATCTACCTATGAAACTGTGAAATATATGACTGTTCTATAACATTTCAATTTCAATTCTAATTAATTACCTATATACTGCCAGTGTCCAGTCTACCAGTTTATCCATTGTTTACCATTATTACTATCATCAAAAAACACTAATTTGAAATCCTGTTACCTGATAGTTCAATTATATCAGTTAACAAACTGATTAACTATATCCTATCAGCCCAACCTGTCAGTCTATTATATTAAATCACTAAATTTTAATCATATTACTTAATAAGTTACAATGATCAAGAATGTCTTTGGGTTTCAGCAATCGCCAAAAACTTGATTCTAAACACAAAATGCTGTTCTTGGCCTTGAACTTGCCACGTGTTCATCATCTGCCAC